TTAACCTCTTGCACTGGCAACTGATTGACGGACCATAACGAGTGACCAAACCATATATACAATAATTCGTCGCTTTCTTTTTGAACTCGTCGGTATAATATCACTGGATAGAAATTATTACTAAGAAGTAATAAATTTATTATTTGTTTTGCCTGGGTTATATTTAAATATACTTGGAACTGAGAAAATATTGCAACTTTGGGACGAAAAATTCTCGACGTGCGTGGCATGTCATTTCAGCGCAGAAAGTTAACCTCTTGCGCTAGCAACTGGTTCACGGACCATAACGAGAGACCAAACCAATATACAATAATTCGCCATTTTCTTTTTAAATTCGTCGGTATGGTATCGCTGGATAGAAATTATTGCTAAGAAGTAATAAATTTATTATTTGTTTTGCCTGGGTATATATTTAAATATACTTGAAACTGAGAAAATATTGCAATTTTGAGATAAAAAATTCTCGATGTGGCACTCATTCCTTAGAGGTTAACCTCTTGCACTGGCAACTGATTGACGGACCATAACGAGTGACCAAACCGTATATATAATAATTTATCGCTTTCTTTTTGAACTCGTCGGTATAATATCACTGGATAGAAATTATTACTAAGAAGTAATAAATTTATTATTTGTTTTGCCTGGATTATATTTAAGTATACTTGAAACTGAAAATATTGCAATTTTGGGAGAAAAGATTCTCGACGTGCTCTCATCTATCTTTTATTTACATCATTATTAATACTATTTAGCGGCAATATTTGTATAATTGGAAGAAGCTTGTTATTCCGATCGTTTTCAATGTGATAATTGATATTGATTTCGTTTGCGAAAAATTTCTCTTACTTTACAGTCACTTTGCATTATCGTTTTATGATTTCGTCAGTTAAAAAAAAAAAAAAAAAAAATTCATTTCGGATATATTCAAGGTTATTTGACGGAAGATAGAAATGCAGAGTTAGCTAATCGAGTTCTCCATAACTGGTGGCGTGACCCTACGGGTTTCTTGGTTCGATGGATCGAAGAATAGTAGTCGTGGCTGCACAGTTCGCTGGGGTCGGAGCCCAGTAATGGCTCTGTCGTTGCTCTCCAGTGTCAACAAAACATTGCTAATGTACCCAGGCCAACACAAACTCACCCTTGCCTCACCCTCGTTGCGCCACTGTCAGCACACCCTCGTCTTCCTACCACGATAAATCGAGGGCCGCCTAGAGAAAGGAACAGCCAGGAAAATGGAGGATCGGTTGCCTCGAGTTTTCTTCCTACATATCCATTCTTCAAATTTTTTTTCTTCCTATATATCTGTCTGTCCATTCTTTTGGAAATTTGAATCCAATTTCTTCCGCGGTCCATTTTCTCGAAAACTTCCTGTTGTAATTTTCAATCAGATCCTTGAAGATTTTTTCGAAAGTTCTGAAGGATCGGTGTAGATTATTCTTCCAGTAGGCATGGCTTGGATGGCCAATCCTTTCGAATTCCAAAATCTTTCTTCTAGCTTCCATTTTTGTGAAACTTTGAATCTCAGTTTCTCCGCAGGATAGATGAATCGTTCCGGATTCTTTTCTGATATTTAGCATCCAGTAACTCTTAAAATACCGTTCGGCAAAATTAGACGAGAATTAGAATTCTTGTTCAACATTTATCGACTTTTATCCTTGCATTTTCTGTAAATTAATAATTGTAATCTGTTGTAATTTGATAAATTCTGGCTCTTCGTAAATTATTGTTTAGCGACATCGAACAGTGCCAGATATTGGAAAATTTTTTTTTTTTTTTTTTTGATGATAGATTCGATTACGAATCAGCAGGAGGCTGCAGGTGCTTACTTCGAATCTTGCAATCCACTCGTTAGTCGGATGCATCTTTAATCGCTCTCAATTGCATTGATCTTCGATAACCGATTTCTCGTTCTATTTGTAGATGCTCTGACAGACATTCTTTCATAAGTATTCCATCAAGAATTCCAGATACTCCTTGTAACTATTCTACCATTCGATTACGATTGATTGTTATAACAATAGTCGCCGGCGTTGCATTTCCTTCTTTCATTTTTCATTCTTTTTTCTTCCATTTTTTTTTTTGGCGTGATAATAAACTCACTGTTACTTTGCAAGTAACGTGGATTTTTTTTTTTTTCACTATCATGTATTTAGTGAAAATAAATAATTGCAATTTCGTCAATAATTGATCAGAGATTTCTCTTACTTTTATATATAATTTTTTGCCATTTTTTTCCCTAATCTGTTCAATTACACGTTTTCTGATTTAATTCTATGTATATAAAATAATAGAAGCTATAATCAAGAGTGTTGAATTTCTTTAGATCATCGCTTGAAATATTTGATTGAATCTTCTCGAATGGCGCGGTAAATGTAGATTTTTATTATTACTTCTATCAGATTATCAGATTATCTGCCTCTATTAGATTAGACATTTTCGACGAATGGGTGGGCACATTTGTTTGCAACAATGTTTTATCGGTGATGACGTCGACCTAGTTCGAGCTCCATTAACGTTTTCTACGAACTTTATAATCACTCTACGAGGCACAATGCGTCACGTTATTTATTATTATTAGACGATATGGTCGATTACGAGCAACAGAAATAAATTGGGAGAGATCGATAGAAACGTATACAGTTGTACTTCCAGGTACAATTTTCTTTGTTAATTTCCGTCCTTATTCTTGCTCGGTAATTTACAATACTATGTCGTGTATTTCTAAAATAAA